GTATCCCTTTCTCCTTATCAATTCGAATTACTTGAGCAGCCTCATTCCTACCTACCTTTATAACTTTTCCAATGGCCCGAATGCGGATCCTCGTAATTTCCGTGTACGGAATAATACCCTCATGATTGCCATACTCCAGGAGTTGAACCACAGCGGAAGTATCATTGACCTGAATCACTTTGACCCACACCACATCATTTTCCTTTGGCAGCTTTTCCTCGTAGAAACACACGTCCCGCCCGTCCCAGGTCGTTACTCCAAGACAAGCGGCCAAAAACCTCTGCTGCCGCTTGTCAAGATCTTTCATCCATTGCGGTTTCTGAGTATTATCTCCCCCCGACTGTTCCGTGTCCACCGTAACGGCAGCCGCGGCTGAGAGAATAGAAGCCTTCTCCAGCTCTATCAGCACCTTTTCAAAAGTGGATGCGTCAAAGGGAACGTTAAACGGTTCTGTCAAGGTGAGTTTTCTCCGCGAGAGGGTTGGATGACGGACGAAGTACTGCTTCGGCGCCTGGTAATACGCCTCGTCGGTGGTTCGGCAGCAGCACTTCGTACTGTAATCCACCCTCTCGATGTCCTTCACTGGGCCATGCGACGCCATCGGTGTATTAACTTCTTGGCACGGATGCAAGCCGACACCACCAAAAGCAAAAAAAAAAAAAGGAAAAAAAAGGCAAAAGAGAGAGCGAAAGTTTCAAAAAAACACTTTTAAAACGGTGCCCAACTGTATGAAAGGGTTAGGAAAAACAGTCGAAAGCGACGAGATCACAATAAATAATTTTCGCTTTATTCAGAGAGCAAATGGAGAGAGAACCAAAAAAAAAAAAAAAAAAAAACGCCGGCAGGCATTCGCAGCATAAGGCGGGTCACAATACCGTCATTCCAAACAAATCCCAGCAGTGACTTTGTTATAAAAATATTTGCAACCAAAAACTCACAATTCGCAGCCGAAATGCAACCCCATAATAATTCCTACCCGCCCCTCGAGGGCATAGTCAACCCATCCAGCAGCTCAGTTCGCTGAAGCCTTCCCTGTCCCTCATTAAACTCTTTTGTAAAGTCATCCTCGGAGCTATTGAAAAACGCCTCAATGGCATCGCGGTCAGCCTGTCCAAGTGGGGTGTTGTTTTTCTTGCTCCTTCGTACTGGAGAGTCATCAGGCAAGCCACGTTGCCCTTGAAGCTTCCCGACTTGTGCCCGAAGCGCATCGTGCCTCTCACGCAACGTTGACAACTCCGCCAGTAGCCGCTCACGCACCAACTCCTCCCTTGATGACATCTCCTTTCAGTGAAAAGACGTCACCCCAATCAATTTTGGCACTCTAACAGAGCTGTAAAATAATAAACAAAAAAAAAAAGCATAAGAAAAACACAAAGATGAAAAAAAAAGACCCAAAGACAGAGAAAAGCATGTGGGCGAAAGACATTCGCAAAGAGAGTCATGTAATATAACTCGGAATAAACAAACGTGAACACCTCACAAAATAATTAGCATCATACACTAAAAAACCACGTCACAAACTGCAGTTCACCTGTAGAATAGCATCCCCCTCCCCTCTCCCCCTGGAAGGTTAACGATAATGTACCATACATGTATAATATATGTATATGTATTGTATGTACAAAGGGAAGGGAAAAAAAAATAACAAAGCAAGGCTTTAATATATATATATATATATATATACAACAATAAAGTTGCGCATTTGACTCTCTCTTTCACTGCATTATGCCCGAACGTTAAAAACAAAAGAAAAAAAAGTTGTTATCGCCATAAGAAGAGCATCACGTGTTGCTTCTTTGACCCAAAAACCGAGAAATTTGGCTGATGAGAAGAAGCAGCCACAGGGAACGCTCGGTTTTGTCCGTGAATGCAATTTCGACGCAGTGGCCTCCAGCCTCTTTGCAGTGCTCAAGTTCAATTGCAAATTTTTGTGGTGGAGAAGCCACCGGCCTGACGCGATTCACCGCTTGGAGCGAAACGATGTGGCGTGTCTGTGAAACATCGTCTGGGCTGTCAAAAAACAAAAGTGTTTTTGTTTGGCTCAGAACACAATAGACTCGACTCCAATGCCGTACAACCTTCAGAAAAACGTAATTCTGCCGTATGACCCGCTCACTTTCGAGGCTATAGCTCGTGTCGACAGGAGGGCACCAGCAGTTTTTCGGAGAGCGTTCAACAGACGGCCGCAACGCCCGTGACGAAGGCAATTTTACGCCCTTGTTTCTACTTTCCGCCAGATCGCCATGATCATCGTCGCTATCCGGCAACACGGCAGAAGAAGGCGACGTGGCACCAGGCAGCAAATGTGACGGCACGGAGTTCTCTATCAGATTCAACTCACTTCTCAGCCAGGCGTTCGATAACTGATTATCCAGATAATCGCTCTTCATCGTGGCAATTTGCATGCGCAGTATCTCCAGCTCATTCTCGTATGAATTCGAAAGGGCACGAACAACATGCTCATCGTAGGAGGGAGCTGAACTGGCGGAAACCAATTTTTTGTTTTCCTCCCGCTGTTGATGAATTTCCTCGCGGAGTTTGGCAACTTCGGCCAACAGCTCCTTTTGCCTCCACCGCTCGCTGTTCTCATTCTCCTCCGTTGCCCTGCGAAGAGCACGCAGCGTGCTCATTGTATCCGACAGTTTATCACCGCACACCTTCAGCCGCATGCCGGTGTTTTGGAGCAGTTGGTGCATGTTTTCATGCGCAATACGGAATATCTCCGCCGACCCCATTGCATACTCCACGACAAGTTGAAGCCGATCCGCCCATTCATTCTGTAAAAAATCCATCGCCGGGCTCGTCATTGTCCCCGCCCCACTTCAACTATCCACCTTTTCCTGCCGCAACTCATTCCATTTATAAAAAAAAAATTAAAAATTAAAAAAATCAAAATCTCATATGAATACACACACACAAATATACACGCAAACAAATACGTATACATGAAATCAAGCAAAAGGGATGAAAGCGTCAGTACACCACAGGAATAAAAGCAAAAAACCTGCACACGCACCCACAGTAAAAAAAAAAAAGGAAAACGGTCCCGCTTCTGGCATCCTCTTATCAGAGGCATCAATTACTTTTCAGCGTACGAAAAAAAAAAAAAAATAGGGGAAAAAAAACTACAAAAAATAACCGCACGCTTACACACAAGCACACAATGAAGATGGAGAAACTTAAGACAGACAGGGATGAATGCATGTATGCGCAAAAAAAAACAACAAAAAAACCACGATTTATCTGAAGGTGATGAGGTCATTAGGATATACGTGTGAAAAGACTGCCTTTGGATTCGTGCAGGAGAAGGCGCTTGTGAGATACATGGGAGAGTCCAACTCGTCAAACACCCACACGCCTAGTGGGCCATCCAGCACCTCAAAGCCCAATGTTTTGTAATCATGAATTGTTCCCCAAACAGAGCACCAGCAGCCAAATGAAATGCTACACTTTCGGAGTGCATCCTCAACGTCATGAGAAAACCTGCGCTTCGTGAGAACGTTGATGGGCACAAACTGACGAAAACAATGAAATAGACCGTAACGGTTCACGCCACTCGCACTGGGGGCCACCCTCTTGAGAAACTCGGATACATTCATGACGCGGCATATTTCCCCCCGATCATTTTCCACCTCCACGGAGGGAATGGACTCGCCAGCACGCAAAGGACCCGGAAAACGAGATGCATCAAAATTTAAAAACATCCGCACTCTTTCATGTGAGAAAACAAAGTACATGAGTTCCTCTCGAGTAAGCCAAAAGGGCGTTTCATAGCCATGCTCTTTTGCTATTCCACCCAGCGTACTCAAGGCCTCCTCTGAGGTGGTGAGGGCAACGCCCCTGGCAGAAAGAGCAGGTGCGGTGATGTCCACAACGACGGGCATGTCTCCGCGGCGTCTATTAATTTTTCTCCAACGCTCGGAGTGAACGAGAACTGCCCGCGCAAAACCCGCATGCATCGTGCTCCACAAGGCCTCCTCTGGCAGTATGGCATCCAAAAGATACTCGGGCCTCACAGAAAGCCCCAGTTGATGAACCTGTGACGAAGTGAGAACGTGCGCCATTGGTCGCACTGCAGCGGATGCCCTTTTTAGCAACGCCGAGTGCACCATGGCGTCTGCCCAGGGGGCAATCGGCTCGTTGAAGATGGTGAGGCGTCTGCTCATACAGCCCGTCTGCGGGAAAGAAATGGGTGGATGGATGGATGGATGTGTTTATTTGATATGTAGTGCGAGCAGACCCCCTTTTTCCATGCCGCCACCACCAACACAAAGACAGAGAGAGAAAAAGAGAGAAAAAAAAAAAAAAAAAAAGAACATGAGACCCAAAAAGATAATAAAAAATAAAATAACGCCACCACATCCATCCAACTCATTTCCACCACAACTCACGTGACGGAAGTTGAGACGCAGCGGTGCGTATGCATGCAACATACGGGGGCAAAAAAAAAAAGAAATGTAAGGTAAAAAGAAGGAAAAAAAAAAAAAAAAAAAGCAGGTCGCACAACAAAGACAAGTCATGAGTGGTAAACCGATCGTAGGAGGGGGATTGTACAAACACAAAAACCAGCCACGTCTCTGTTCGCATCAAACAAAAATCCATGGCGGCTCAACGACAGTCCGGGAACAAAAACAAAAAAAGACACGAGCACAAAAGTTTAAGCAAAAAAAAAAAAAAAAAAAGACAGGCCGAAGTAAAGAGGCCGTGCCGGTCAGTCTGTAGGGAATAAAAAAAAGAAGAAAAAAAAAATTGCCAACAAAAAGAAAAAAAGAAAGAAAAGTAAAAAATTACGACTGGAAGAAAAAAAACAAAACAAAACAAAAAACACACATAAAAAAAAAAAAAAGGGAAAAAAGAAAGCAACCACACGGGGCCCAGTACCCCGAACAAAGGCGATGCAATTGCCCGGCGCAAAGATATGTCGCCCCTAACCCTAAGCCCACAGGTCAATACAAAAACAACAAAAACTAAAGACCCAAGCCCAAAAAGAAAAGAAAAAAAAGAAAAGTGGGACCCCCCCCCAAAAAAAAAAAAAAAAAAAAAAACAGTGAATAATTCACCTCCCAATCCCTGAAACGCTCATCCATGCAAAAACACCAAAATGCATCCAATATACATACATGTATCCATATACAGGGTGGGAAGAAGATGGGGGGAAAAAAAAAAGATGCATCAAATCAATGTAATCATCAACAGATAAATTAGAAAAAGACACAAACACGCCCACTAGAAAAAAAAAAAAAAAGAAAAAAAAAACCAGACACACAGCTACAGCATCCGCACAGTCAAATCTCGTTTCATCAGTCCCGTATACATCCCCAACAGCAACAAACTTGTTGGGTTTAGGCTTTTTTTTTTTTTTTTCTCCCCCCTTTTTTTTCCTCTTTTATTTATTTTATTTTTTATTTCATCGTTCTTCTTTAATTAACTGACAGTCGTGTTTTTTTTTTGTTTGTTTCTTTCTTTTCCTTCTTCTTTCGTTTCCCGCCCTCGTTGCTTATCGTTCTTTTTTTTTTTTCTTTTTTTTTTTTCCTTTCCCCCCCTGTCATCAGCCAATGCAACAAACATAACCGTCAAAAAAAAAAAAAAGTTACGGAGAAATAAATAAATAAAAGACGTGGATTTAGTTTTTTCTTTTTTTCTTTTTTTCTTGTTGTTGTTGTTGTTTGTTGTTTGTTGTTTTATTATTATTATTATGTTATTGTCCCATGTGTGTGTTGGTTATTGGCACCCGAAACAATGTTAAGTGGATTTGTAGAATACCCAACTTTTATTCTTTTCCCGTGAAATTCAAACCCGTTCATTCGCTCTACAGCCTCCTTGGCGTCCTCTGGGTTACAGAAATAAACAAAGCCGTATCCCTTTGGAAGATTCGTCTGCCTGTCGTGGATGATCCTGGCGCCATCCAGAGGCCCAAAGCGAGAAAAAAGCCCATGCAGCTCTGCACTGACCACGTCAGGTGCCAAATAATTTACAATGAGCTGCTTGCGGTACCGTTCATCATTACTCGGCACGGGAGTGGTTTGATGACGTTGCGTCGAATTATGGCCCATCTGATGATACCCACCAGGAGCCGCGTTGTAGCCACTTACAAGGTTTTGGTTCATGGGAGCAACAGAGATCTGCATAAATGGGGTACTTTGAGAAACTCTTAAAGACATTACATTCCGCTGCTGGTGTAATTGATGTTGCTGAAGATGATGATGATTAGGGTGATGATGATGATGATGATGATGATGATGATGATGATGATGATGATGATGATGGTGCTGTTGTTGTTGTTGTTGTTGTTGTTGTTGAATTTGTTGTTGGTGTTGTTGTTGTTGAATTTGTTGGTGTTGTTGCTCTGCATATGGCTGGTATTGCAACGGTCCTTGACGCTGCTGCGTTGCTGCATACGGTTGATACCCTTTATAAAGCACCATGGGCGCAGATGACTGCGGATTACTGTGGTAGTACATGAGCGCTATAAAATGCAGCCAAATGTATTATATATAAATATATCTATTTATATTTATATTTATATTTACAAGCAAACCAGCAGAAATTTGTCAGAGTACAGAAGTAAGCCACCACGCAAAAAAAAAAAAAAAGAAAAACAAACAAAAAAAAAAAAAAAAACCGAAGAAAAGGGAATAATCGCTGAGTGTTAAACCTGTTGCTGGTGTGGTTCTTGTACACATGTGTGCAAAGGGGGGAAGTGGGTGGGCAATGAGGAAAAAAAAAGAGGATCAAAAAAGAAGAAAAAAAAAAATCCCGGAGATTTCACAGCAAGTGAACAAAAGAAGGAAAACACACACACACACACACACGCTTTAAAAAAAAAAAAAAAAAAAAAAAGCAAAAAAATAAAAAATAAAAATAATGTCTGCAATGACATTTTAAACAAGTCAAGCAAATTACATATAGATGTGTATATGTAATTTTTGAAAAGGCAAAAAACAACAACGAGATAAGAAAAAAAAAACCAAAAAAAAAAAAAAAAAACAGATATCAGCAATTCGACGTCCCGTCATAAACGGCCCAATGCCGTTTCATGGGTGATGGAAGAAATGATGCACTCCCGTTCATCAAGGGTAAGAAATTCCTCGAGAAGCTGTAGCAACTGATCTGGTCGAACGGAGACATCGTAGTCCAAGGCGTGGAACATACGCCACTCCGTCTGGGCGCAGATCTCATGCAGGGAAAATGAATCGTGTGAACTGGACGGCAATACATCCAACATATACTTGAGAGTAATTTTGTAATCAACATGCCACTTGAGTGCCAGGGAAAAGGCGACAAAAAGACTTCTCCAGCAGTTGCCAAGATGAAGCCAAAAAAAATTACCTCTGGATGAATTACAAAGTCGCTCCATGTATTTCTCAATGGAGTGCCGAAGTTGTAGTTTATCGATGATACAAAAGGCAATGACCCACGCGGCCGCATCCACATCCGCAAAGACGTAATGGAGATAAAAGATCATGGCCTCTATGGACATATGGGATGATCCAAAAACGCCCTGAAATTGTTCATTTTCATCGTTGAATAAATCAAACAATGTTGTGTTTGCCTTCGCCGCGGGTATATGTTTATCAGCCACAATAAATGACATCCTGCTCTCCGTATCGCTGGGATATGCAGCAGTTGCATCCAACCGATAAGATTCCATCATTCTGCACCAAAGTGTGAAGAGTGTCCTGCCGACACGAGTCTCGATGCTGCAACGCAATTGGCGAGGCAAAAAAAAGGGGGAAACGCCATCACGGCTCTGTTCCTCCTCAAGCTTTGCATATTTCTTTGCGCATGTCTCAATCTTTCCACGCAGAGCCTTCGGCATCGCTTTTCTATTGCCGGCTTCGCCCACAGGCAGCACCCACGGCGCATGAGGAACACACACACAAGAAAAAAAAAAAAAAAAGGAAAAAGCGCAGTGCCTAAAAAAAGAGCAAACAAACAACCACAAAAAAAAGCAAACATTTTTTTCTTCTTAATGCGGCACACACACCCACACACACACAAAAAAAAAAAAAAGAGGGCGGAGTAACAGACCATTGAGTTTGAAAACACATCTCTTTTCTTTGAATTTTTTTTTCTTTCATTCTCGATTTTTATTGTTTTACATGTCTACTTCCGTTTTTTGGCCGTTGGTGCAGACACACCGCCCGCCACGGGAAGAGAGAGGCCCAACTTCTTCTCCAACTCCTTCCGTTGAAGCTCCAGAGCGGCAAGTTTGTCGGCCTCGTATTGACATTCCTTCGCCTCACGGTCCCTGTCCGCCTCTGCGATGCCAAACTCCAAGAAAAGAGGCTTCAGGCGTGACGCCTCCGCCTCCTCCAGTTGTTTCAGTTGCCGTCGCACACGGTCCATCTCACGCTGCAAACGGTCCACTTTTTCCCTCTCCTGCTGAACGCGAGCCTCCATGTTTGCCTTACGCCCCGAGATCTCCGCCATCTCGTTGCTCACCCGCTCCTCGGTGCGTAGGAGGACCTCCTCGGCGGACTCAAAACGGACGCGTACGGCGGCCAAGTTCTTTTCAAGATCCGCAATTTCCCGCCGCGCCTTCTCGGACGCGACGCGAGCCTCTTCATTACGGCGCAACAACTGCTCGCTCCGATCCTTAATGATGCGCCGTTCCATTTCAATTTCGTCTTCGGCCTGAGACAAGTCCCTTTCCTTGAAAGAGAGACCCTCAATCTCGGCCCTGAGCTTCGGAACAATAAGGCTCTTGTTCTTCTCCGCGTTTCGCGCCAATGTCGTCCGATGGCCAATAAGAGATTTATATCGGAAGTCATTGAATCCGACATTCATCTTCTCCAGCGTCATATTTCCTCTGAGCTGATCGTCCAAAAGCTCTCCCGTGGCATTTGACATGCAATTGCGTCGCAGATTCAACTCTCGAAGGGTACGATTGCTGGTCAAAAATAATGCAATGGCCTTCCCTCCGTCATCAGCGATCTTGTTGCAGGAGAGATTGAGTGAAATAAGCCCTTCGTTTGTCTTCATGGCCTCCGCGATACATTTTGACCCAGCATCCTTAAGTTTGTTGTTCGACAGATCTAAATGCTGCAGCGTGCTGTTCGCCGTGAGAGCCGTTCCAATTGCGGCCCCATCTGCCTCGCGAATCTCACAGAAAGAAAGGAAAAGTGAACGGAGGTACTTGTTTTCTGCCAGCCCTTCCATAATATACTTGGAGGCGCCCCCAAAGCTATTGTAAGAAAGCCGCAGTGTCTTTAATGCCGTTGAAGATGACAGGACTCGCTGCATTGCCTTGGCCGTCTTCTCTCCGAGTTCGTTAACCTCCAAATTTAGATATTCAAGCTTGTCCTCTCCATCCTCAATGGCTCCAGCAATCGCTTTAAACAGGACCATCCCACCATTGTCACCCATGTTGTTCCGCTGCAGGGAAAGGTGGGTGATGCAAGTGGTCTCCAGGACCGGAGCCAGCGCCTTAATACCTGCGTACCCCAAATTGTTGACAGAAATATCCAAATGTTTC